GTAGCTCACCTCACTACACTCTCCTCTGCTCTCCTCAGGACCAACATTTCCTTCTGATGGTCTCACTTGGACCCATTTACCGGAACCACTCAGCGTCCTCCATCAGCGTCCTCTGAGTTCATGTTGCTGCACTTTGATTTTGATCAGTAATTATGATCATAAAGTTTGTGGATGAGTCTGAGTTCCTTTGGACGACAACACAGGAGACATCTGTGTGCCCGCAATGTACAGGCCGTGGGGCTGCGCTCCCTGTGGTTGCTGCTAGTGGAAAACCCATAATGGCCTTTAATTGGGACTTTAATTGTGTGTGGTGAAGCTAAAGCACTGACTGCGAAATTGGTGGTATTTGAGTGCATACATGCAGCTTTTGTGTAAGTATATGTGTTGTTCACCAAATCCTCTTCCTGCCTTTGTCTGTGAAGGAGTTGGAATGAGACAAACCTGCTCGGCTCCAAGTCTCATAAATCATCGTCGACGTTTCGTTAGCGTGATTCCGTCGACAGGGTGCGCTCAAACCGGGTCGTGACAACACGGAGATGCATTTGTTACAAAGACCTTCATTCAAATAGTCCTGTGTTCACCGGTAGCCTTTCACTGCTAAGGAACTTTTTTCGCATTTGTGCGACCATGATGTCCGATGTTCAACGTCTTTGAACATCGAGTCAACTTTGATTTGCGATGCCCAAAGTCTGGCATGGGGGCCAGTTGTGGCACTTGAGTAGGATATATTTTTATTGTCCTTAGCATATTACTAATATTATCAGTAGTAGTAAATATCCCTTTAGTTTTTATTATTTAATGTCATTTTTTAGTAGTAAATATCCCTTTAGTTTTTATCATTTAATGTAATTTTTTCCAACATTTCTTTTGAACTGTTATCGGATGTAGCTTTTAGCTACATTCACTTTGGGTTTTAGGCTAACTACATGTTAGCATTTAAGATTTCCCAGTGGTTCAATGTATTATTTAAATAAAACTCGAAGGCCAGTGGTTCAATGTATTATTTAAATAATCGAGTTTTATTTAAATAATACATTTATTACATGTTGTAAATATAAAATAATAACAATCAATATTTTAATTATTTTTGGATTCTGTTTTTTTAAGGAAAAAAAGGAATTAATTCCCAGTCTGCATTTATTTTTAATATATATTTAGAACATGTGAGAGTCCGTTCAACAACTGGACTTCTACGGTGGTTCCTAAAATGCGGGGCGAGCCCCCCTTTGTGGGGCGGCCCAGCAAGACAAAAGCATAATAATGTGTTTTTTTAAAGTGCGAAAAGAGTTTGGGAATCACTGGACCAGGACATTGTTTCCCAAAGACTGGGTCACGACCCTCAGATGGGACGCAAGATTTTTTTTTGGTGTCGTCTCTTTGTCATGTTTGACAAGGAGTTTATGAATAATGTTTACTGACTTGGGTCGCGAAGGTTTGTGACTTTAAAAATATGGGTCCCCAGATAAAAAGTTTGATTTAGTAGCACCACCTAGGGAAGGGAATGGGTATTGGGTATATATATATATAAATGTTTATTTGTTTGTTTTTTTATTTTGTTGTTTTTTGATACTTTTGTCTGTGGAACAGTTGTTGAACATGTTTCTACTTTAATCGTAAAGCCTTCAGTGTCAGACAAGCTCAGGGAGGTGTGTGTGTGTGGGGGGGGGGGGGGAACCAAAGGGAAAAGTGCTAATAATGGGGTGGAGAAAGGGTTGGCGGGGCAAGTGTGGAACAGCAGAAGAACAAGAGGAGGAGTGTGAGGAGGCGAGGGAAGGAAACGAGCAGAGAGGAGATGAAAGAGGACGAGTGGTGCCTGTCATGATTATCCTGGAACCACTGGGAACATTTGGATGTGATGGAAAACCAGACACCGTCTTGTGTTCCATTCACGTCTGCAGCACTCTCTCTCTCTCTCTCTCTGGCAGAGTGAGGCAGTCCAGTGACAGCAGCCTGAAGTCAGGGTGGCGACTTCTCAGGAGCGGCTCCTAGTGTTGGAGAATGGTGTTTGTGTTGGCGCTGAATTAATAACTTTTCATTTGGCGAGGAAATGTCAGGAATAGTAATTAAGGAAATTGAATAAAATGATTGGCCACGATGTTTATATTAAGTTCCAGATGAGAAGCAGCTGCCTGCACAGCACGACCCCTCCCTCGACGCCCCCCCCCCACTCACCCCCC